GCAGAGTGAAGCACATTCACGTCAGGCACTTTCTTCTGCGAGAGTTGCAGAGACGTGGACAGGCTCGCTTCGAGTTCGTGGAGTCCGAGGCCAACACTGCAGACATCTTCACCAAGGCGCTTCCGCCTTGTGACCACCAGAGGTGTTGTGTGCAGTTAGGCCTTGTTGACTCAGGTTCTAGTCATGTGTAGACTTGAGTTTATTGCCTGCTTCGTCTGTACACTTGCTATATATACTTGTGATCTCTTGGACTGGCCTTGTGGCCACTGTTGCTTGTGCTCAGAGTGTGTGGTGACGTTGTGATCCACCCTGAGCTTTGTTTTCTTTTGGACTGGTCTTGTGACCGTACTCTTTTTGATTTTGCTAGACACCCCTCACTTAGGCTATGGGGGTGTGTCAAATGTTGTAGCCTGTAGTGAGGTTTGTCTTAGGGGGTACAGAAGTTAGGGTTCGTTATATGTACCCCAACCAACATCAATGGAACCATTCATTCCTCATTATGACAGTAAGTTGATTAAAGCAAAGAGATACAGGAATATATATATGAGTACAGAGAATATGAAGAGATATAATTGTGACTGTTTTACTGTTGCGGTTCGATACAGTGCGACTTGGGCAACTCCTCAATGTCGAGTCAGTTGTGTGTCCTTGCTGTCGCGCTACGTCAGGTCAAAGGTCGCTGGCCTTTGACTTTCTTGTAACCTCCAGCGGTTACGTTAACCTCCGAGGGTTGACTCGCGGTGCTTCGATTTGAGCTGCTTCGCTTGTGTCTTGAGTTTCGACACGACAGAGGCGCTTAAGACTATTTGTTCCCAACATCCACGAGGTTACGGTACTTGCGATTTGCAATCGTAATAAACAACTTGTTGTAAACGTCTAAATTCCCTATTTTTGCAGGTACTTACTGTACTTGGTAGTCATCCTAGATAGGAATGCACGGTATTCTGAGAAGCGTGCACATGTTTTGGAAGTAAAGCTGTCTAAGATTCCTATGTTTTATACTGGACTGGTAGTCAACTGAAGTGAGCTTGGTGTTAGGCTGTTTTTGGACTCTGCTAAAGGAATGAATGTCCAGCAGGGTCTACCACATTTCTGCATAAGGATGCGTCACAAACACTTGAGACATACGGTACAAGTGGGTGGAAAGCCTCCTTAACCAAAGCTACATATACAAAGAAATACTTGGCTCCCTTTTCCCCAAAGTAAATTCGTTAATGAACAAAGTACACTAAATGACTGGTATATCCTAATCTGAACGGTACAGTCTGTCATCCGTTCCACGCCACCGTGAAATTCAAGGAATACCTTCCAGGTGAAACGCTGAAGCGCAGGTGACGCTGAATTGATAGCTGAGCCTTCGTATACGCTGCACCGTTCGATTGATATATTCGACGGCAAAGAGTTGTGTAGCCTCGAACGAATTTTGGCGCGCACCGCTTTCGTCAACAGCAAAGCAGCGGGCATCTCCCTCCCTTTTGCATTGTGGTTGCTCCAGCGGCGGTTGCGGGGCTCCCCTTCCCTCCCCTTGTCCTCCTGAGGCGCACCCCAGCCTGAGGGACTGTGAACAGTTGTGCTGGCATTGGCTCCCCCCGCTTCCGCTGATTGCTTGGCTGATGGAACGTTTTGAGAAATCCCCAAAGGATGTTGCCTTATGTTAATTTAGAGGGTACAATTGTGTGTGCATAAACACTCGTTGCTCTGTTGACTTAACGTGGGGACCCCATACCCAAGTTAAGCGGGGGTTACAAACGGGAGATTTCATATAGACGATGAGGGTTGGGGCATTCTCTTCTGAAAGCTCTCACAAAATTCACCATGCCGCATTTGCCAGGGTGCTATATGTCAGGAGGCTGAAGGCGTGCTCTTTTGCTTTTCTTTGTTTCCTCCATTTCCGAGGTTGATTTGTTACGACTCGGACACCAGATTTATCAGAAGCCGCAGCTGGCTTGTGTGAAGAGTGCAGGGTAGCTTACAACCTACTGCGCACATGCTTAGTTGAGAACAAGAAACCTTTCACGTTCAGAAACGCGTTTCCAGCCGCTGGCGCCGCTCTGATCCATCACCCTGCCTTGAGGAAATGACAGAGCGCCGTGTTTTCAAATTTCGAATTCCAATGGGCAGTGGTTTTGACAGCGCATTGCTCTGCGCTCGCGTCCAATACCTTGGGGCATATTCTTTCTCAGTTTCCCCCCCTAAGTCCACAAATACAAGCTGTTTTTAGGTTACGGGGTATTAAAAATGTCTTCGTCGAGTCCATGGCAAAGGCTCAGCTCGGGACAAAAAAAAATATAACCCTCATGGATGGTATGCCACGAAGAGAGCATCAACCCTTAACACCATGAGGCAAGGTGTTTAGGGTTGATGCCTCCCAAATGGCTTGTCATCCGAGTGGGTTTTAGTTTTTCCACAGGCCTCTATACTGAACCCAGGTAATCTTAATATTTTCCCTTCTATACGTTTGGTCATGAAAAACGGGAAACAGCAATATAAACTGACCGCGGGAATTGGGCGCGAGCGCGGTGGAGGTCGCTATCAAAGCCACTGCCGAAAGGAATCGAAAACGCGCAAACACGGCGGTCCGTCATTTCCTCCCCTGCCTTCCTTCCCCCTTGCGTGCGCAAAGCGGGTTTCTGCCAGCATTTTGCGCTTGTCCTTCTGGCTGCTGCTCTCTGCCCCAACCCCCAACACCTTCCCGCCATTTTCGTCCCCCAGCTTCGCTGCTCTTCTGATTTCCTCCAGCGGACGGCATTGCGAGACCGTCCCGTCCCGACCGACACGACACCCTTCTGGATCCCCCCATCTGATATTTCCTCCACTCCTGACCTGAGTCCCGAGTCCCACCCGACCCGACCAATCCTCTGCTCAAGTCAGTGGGCTTGCACCCTCAGATGCACAACCTGTTTCCTTGCTACTACAAAAGTAGATCGTCTGCATCTGCTCCCTCACATCAATCCCTGACTTCCGATACACACCGTTTTTCTTTTCAGGTAACCCCATCACATCACACCGTTAGCACTGGTTAGTCTTTCGCGTTCACGTGTGTCGACTGACAAGGAAAGACACAAAGGCCACCAGCAAGCCTCCGCGACTACCCACTCTCAAACGTACGCGGCTGAACGAACATTCCGGATAGTGTCCGCTGTAGTCGCCACCACGTATCGAGCGTACGAACCCGCGCGCACCAATTAATGCGGCGCGGCGCGCCACTTCGAAGCGTACCGTTTACGCCGCCGTAGTAGCGAAGCGGCAAAGCCCCGGGAAAGACCGTACATTCAGCACCGCGCACCGCGCACTGTTGCGACCGTTTCCTGGTTTTCGAGGCGCCTCAGAATTCGTTGCAGCCGCACCGCACTCTCTTCCGTCTTTACAGCCCGTCCATCGTGCCATCCTACTGCGATAATGACGCTGAATCGTCGAAAGCGTCGGCCGGACGGGCATTCTCGACTCACTCGTTCTTTCCTCCCGCAACCGGCGCTGATGGTCCTTTGCTTAGCAGCCGCCGCAGCCGCTGCAGCAGCCCTCAGTGACGGCGGCGGCGGCAGTGGCTTCGGCGGGGTTAGCGGCGTTAACGGCGTACGCAGGAGAGCGCTGTCCGCTGAGGAGGAAGCGCGGTTGACGCATGCGCGGGTCCGCGCGCAAGAGCTTGTGCGGCTGGGGATCGTCGGCGCGCGCGGAAGAGACGCGCAAGCGGAAGCAGCGCAGCGCGGAGCAACGGGTCGCACAGAATACAACCGCCTGCTGGTGAGTCTCGCTACGAATCACGAGCCGCCTATGCCGCACCGAGGCTTAACCCGCGTTGCTCAACTCCTATATAAATGCGCCTGTCCCGCGCCGCGCTGTAGCACCGCATCGCGGCGAGCCCCCGTCGCACAAAGAGCCAATGGCGATTACCCGGTGATTGCGGCGGTTGTTTCCGGCGATAGTTGACTTCTCAACCAACGAGCTTCGGCCTGCAGGACGCCGCGCATCCCGCTGTTCATTGTGCTGCTTTAATAAGTGAAAAACCAGTACAATGAACGAGAAGCGTCTTGCTGTTCTTTCTCCCTCGCCCCGAGATTTCCTGACAACTTGAGTTTCTTTCTCTCCCCCCCCCCCTCTTTTCCCCCGTCCTCCCCGCCCTCCGCGCGAACGCCCGCCGGCGCTTCGTCTGGGCTCCGCGGCTTTAGCGGAAGGCCCTCCGGCGAGCCAGAGCGGGTGACGACTGGTGCCGCGGGCTGTCAGACGGCCTCCACGGGGATGCGCTCGCGCATCCGCCGCACAGGTATGCGCGCAGCGCGGGTATCCCGCGAGTAAAGGCGTTTCTACAGATTTATTTATTCCGTTCTCATGTCAGAATTACGCAACTTCCTTGTCGCAGTATGGCATGCTGTTGTACCGATACACACACACAAAATAAAAAACCTTTCGCATTCCTGGCTCTATGCTTGCATAATCTCCCATTTCCCAAGACTGGCTCTCTGGATTTTGAGAATAATCGCGAACGAACTCTAATGGTTGTCTCGCGTATTCTGCGTTCACAGTGACTCCCGCGTCTCAAGCTCTCCCCTTTCTCTCTTCTGGTCTTCTCCTCTTTCGGAGCCCCTTTCCACCTGCTCGTGCACACCCATTATGTCCCTTAGGCTCCAAGTCATCGCGTCGTGGTCCCATTCTCCTTTTTATTTTTTTTTGGCCTGTTTCCCCGCCCAAAATCTTATGCCACCAGGTCCTACTTCCGCTGCTCGGGCTACTCGCTCGCAGGAATTTATTTCTGCCCTGGCGCTACCCGTTTCAACGAGGAGAAAGGGCGGTGTGAGGAGGGAAGAGGGGAACTTGAAAGTGCTTTTGCTGGGGAAAAGGGAGCAACAGCGGCGCGTTGGACTGGCAGCAGCAGCAGAATCAGCAGCGGCAGCAGCAGCAGCAGCAGCAGCAGCAGCAGCAGCAGCAGCAGCAGCAGCAGCAGCAGCAGCAGCAGCAGCAGCAGCAGCAGCAGCAGCGGCAGCAGCAGCAGCAGCAGCAGTGGGATGAACTGGGGTTACTACGAAGCGGATGATACGGATGGGCCTCTTAGGGTAGCTGATGGGCAACCCACGGAACGAGAGGAGCGGATAGCAGGCACCAGGAGGGCGGCGCTAAAAGAAGCATCAGCAGCAGTGGACGACAAAAGTCTGAGCCTGAACGAAAAGAGTGGGCTCGGCGAAACTCCCGAGGCTCGCATCGTGCTGAAGGCAGCTGTCACTCCTCCTCCGCTTTCTCCTCCTCCTGCTCTTTCTCCTGCTATTTCTCCTGGTCCGTCTGCCGCGCCGTCACCATCAGCTGCGCCTGTTGTCGTGTGGGCGGACGAGCAGGCAGGGGCGGAGCTGAACGCGCTATTGGCGTTTAAGGCGTCGGTCATCGACTTTCAGAACGCGCTGCGCTCGTGGGTCGTGCCGCGCCACGCCGCCAACTCCTCTCTCTCCCCGGCCGCCTTCTTCTGCCGCTGGCGCTTCGTCTCCTGCTCCAAACCAACCGCGCCCAAAGCCGTCGCAGCGGGAGCAGCGGCGGGAGCGGCCGCTTCTCGGAGTGTGATTGCGTTGCAGATTCCGGAACCTGGACTGAATACCTCTGCAGGAGGCGTTACAGAGGATCTCGGAATTCTCTTGTCGTCCACGCTGAATGTCACCACCTCCATTGCTACCAGCTTGGCGAACAGCACGAGTGACGGTGGCAGCAGCAGCAGCAGTGCGGCCATCCCTCCTCTTCTACCGCAGGAATTCTCCTCCCTCACCGCTCTAGAGACGCTCACCATCCGGAACAGCGCAGACTTCCCCGTAATTGCCGGACTGGCTGGGGCCTTCCCAACCCAACTCTCCGCCTGCTACTCGTTGAGCAAGCTGGAACTTGCGTTTCACCGCATGATCGGAGGGATACCCGACAGCATATCGCAGATCAAGGGCCTAAAGGAACTGAGCCTGAGATACAATCTTATCACCGGCACTCTTCCCACTGGAATTTTCGCTCTCCTCAAGCTTGAGTCGCTAAAGCTCCCCGGTAATGCAATTTCCGGGCCGATTCCGCCGCAGATCTCTCTTCTAAGCAAGACACTTATGAATCTCGAGCTGTTTGAAAACCATCTCTCGAGCAGCCTGCCTGAAGAAATCGGGCAGCTGAAAAAACTCGGTGTCAAACCGGACTTTGCGGGGTTAGCGCTCCGGCGCAACAACTTCTCAGGATCCCTGCCAGCTTCTATCTCCGCCCTCCAGTCTCTGCAAAATCTAGATCTCAGCTACAATCAATTCTCAGGCTCCCTCCCGCAGGGAGGCGCGTTCCTCTCCGGCTTTTCCAAACTGGTCACCCTCCAAATCTACGGCAACCATTTCTCGGGCTCCTTGCCTCTCTCCTTCGCATGCACCACCAGCATCCTCACCATAACTCTGGGATCCAATCAGTTCTGGGGTACACTGCCGGGGAATCTAGACACATGCGCAATGATGCTGTTGGAGCTGGATGTTTCTAGCAACAACCTCACGGGACCCCTGCCGCCCAGCCTCTGGAAGTCTCTTTCTGCTGCTTACATGCTGGGGACGTTGACCCTGAGCAACAACAGTTTTACGGGCAGCCTGTCTCCCGCTTTTGCGGTTGCAACGCTCGGGCAGTTTGATGCCAGCAACAACAAACTTTCCGGTCCGCTGCCTGATCTGAAAGCTTGTGCGGTTGCCACAGTGCTGCAGGGAGTATTTCTGGCGAATAATTCCTTCACGGGCAGCATACCCCCGGGTTTCATCTGCAAGCAGATGCTGTCATTGGACCTGAGGAACAATTCTCTTTCGGGCGACCTGCCCGATGTTCTGGTGGGGTTAAACAGCAAGCAGATTCCATCGGCAGCAGTTCTCAAGGCATCTCCGCATTTTGCTCAGTTAAACCTGAGCCACAACAGTTTCACGGGACCCATCCCCCTGGGCGGCAACTGCAAGGATCTAACCCAGCTTTTCTTAGACCACAACAATTTCTCCGGCCCCGCTGCTCCCGAAGCCCTAGCCACGTGCCGCAACATCATTTACTACGATGCTTCCAACAACCAGCTCTCAGGAACAGCAGCTGACGTGGTTGACAAGCTCTCAAAGTCACTTGCTGTGGTGGGAGTTCGGCTCGGTGGTAACCGCATCGAGGGAGAAATACCAGACAATATATATACTCTGAGTTCTATCAGAGAGCTGAACCTGTCAGGCAATGTGCTCGCAGGTTCGATTCCCAGCACTGTCGCTTCCCTGAACCGGCTACAGGTTCTTGACGTGAGCGGCAACGGGCTGTCCTCGTCCCTCCCCTCTTCCCTCGGCACGTTGTCATACCTCTCGCTGCTAGACGTCAGCCGCAACGGCCTATCCGGCCCCATCCCACCTGAGCTCGCCCCGCCCTTCCTGCCCTTCCTCACCCTTCTAAACGTCTCCCACAACGCCTTCTCGGGCGCCATCCCCTTTGGCTTCTCCAATACCAACACCACGGCCACGGCGCTCGACTTTTCATACAACAACCTCTCCGGGCCGATCTACCCGGGCAACCTCTCGCTGCTCCCCGCCTCCGCCTTTGCCGCCAACCCCGCCTTGTGCGGCGGAGCCGGCTACCCCGACTGCCCGGCGCCGCCCGGGCAGGCGCTGTCGACGGGGGCGGTGGTGGGGATCGTGGTGGCGTGTGTGGCGGCGCTGGCTTTGGCGGTGGGCGGCGTGTGGTACGCGCTGTTCTACCAGCGCAGCACGGGGCTGGAGGGCGGCACCATGCTCGTCTTTGAACGCCTCGACTTCAAACTCAACATCCGTTCCATCCTCGATGCCACCGACACCTTCAGCAACAAATACCTCCTCGGCCGCGGCGGCTTCGGCTCTGTCTACAAGTGAGTGACAGAGAGAGGGGGGAGGACGCGCAGGGTGCTGTATTGCTTTCAGCTGTTTGGATGTTTGGCTGTTTGGCAGTTCATGGTGAGAGATTTTCTCCCATTTTTCTGTTCTCTCTTTCGCATCTGCTGCCCCCTCACCTACCCTCCCTCTCTCTCTCTCCCCCTCCCCAACCCCCCCCCCCCCCCCCTCACTGCAGAGCAACGCTAGCGGACGGGCGGGACGTGGCGATAAAGCGACTGGCACTGGGATCCTCCCAGGGCCAGCGGGAGTTTGAGGCGGAAATGCACACGCTGGGAGCAGTGCGGCACCGCAACCTGGTGGTGCTGGTGGCGGCATACCTCTCCCGCCCGCCCTCCCAGGAGCGCCTTCTCATCTACGACTTCCTGCCGGGCGGCTCTCTGGACCACGTGCTCGATCGCGACATGCCCAAGGGCTCTCCCATGCGGCGCTGGGAGGTGCGGCGGAACATTCTTGCGGGCACGGCACGGGGCATGAAGTACCTGCACCACAACTGCATCCCGGGCATCATTCACCGCGACATGAAGCCCGCTAACGTGCTCCTCGACGACAACTTCGAGCCCAAAGTCGCTGATTTCGGCCTCGCGAGAGAGATGGATGCTACCAAGTCGCACATGAGCACGGCGGTGTTCGGAACGATTGGGTATTTGGCGCCAGAGTATTATCAGCGCGGGCGGCTTTCGTACAAGAGCGACGTGTTTGCGTTTGGAGTGCTGGTTCTCCAGGTGATTACCGGGAAGCTTCCGACGGACGAGGAGTTTGCGGAGAGAGGGCTGGCGAGGTGGGTGGGAGCGAATTCCATTGCGAACATTGTGGACCGTCGGATCGACGATCGGGAAGAGTATATGGATGAGATGAAGGGAGTGGTGACGCTGGGGTTGAGGTGCACGTCTAGAGTGGCGGCTGATCGGCCCTCTATGGCTGAGGCTCTGGAGCTTCTAGAAGAGCTCAGCGCATTTGCAGAGGGTATAGGTGGGGGGAAGAAGGAGGAAGCAGGGGGCGGGGAAGGGAAGCAGCAGGAGTAGGAGGAGAGTGGCGGAGGATCGGCCCTCTATTGCTGAGGATCTGGAGTTACTAGAAGAGCTCAGCACGTTTGCTGAGGGTATAAGTGGGGGGAAGGAGGAGGAGGAGGAGTGGGGTGGGGATGCGGAAGGGAAGCAGCAGGGGTAGGAGGGGGGGTGACTGTGACTTGCGGAAGAGAAGTTTGGGAGTGTGATGGGTAGTGATGGATGGTGTGGTGGTTCTAGAAAAGTGTGCAGTGGGATGGGAGGGATGGGGTTGATGTGTTCTGGTGGTAGAGGGAGCTTCACCTGTCAAATGTGCAGGCAATGCCTTTCCTGTTTATACATTAACCGATGGGGAGAAGGGATTGGGGCAAAGGGAGAGGAGGGGAGGAGTAGTGTATCTGCATGTCAGCTTTGAAATTTTGCTAGAACCACGCTACCATATGTTTGACATAGTTTCACGTTTCCATAAATAATGTTGACAATGTGGGGAAGTATCGGTAATCAAAAAGTTAAACGGCACGAGCTGCTACTAAGCCCTTGAAAATAATGCAGAGATTGCCAGACAACAGCTCCATGCCATGCATGTGAGTGAGAAAATATGCTGCAATATCATAGCATTTGTTTGGAACTTGGACTTACCCGTATCACCCCGGATAGAAGCGCAGGCCTATGATAAGCGCATGCGCTTCTATCTGGAGCAATGCGCTTATGGCCGATTTTCAATTATAAGCGCACCCCCTGTGAAAACATTACTTTTTATAAGCGCATGTACAATTTTAAATCGAGATTCTGCTCAAAACGTTAGCGAGTATTAATTTTGAAGCGAGTGCGATCTCATTTTCGCTTAGTTTGACTCTCGAAGACCTGACTGGCTGCGCGTCCAGTCAGGATGTGCTGGCATGACTGCCAAGTGTCGCATCTTGGCCCCTGTGTGCTGGAAGGGAATTGCTTGGACGCGATTCTGCTTTGTGACGGGAAAAAAATCGACTCGGTTGAAATGGCAAGAGTGAAATATACAATTTGGTGTCTTAAAATTACAATTTTGTAAATGTCAAAATATAAGCGCATGCGCTTATACAAATGACTCAATTACAACCGCACCCCCCTAAAAAACACTGTTTTATTATAAGCGCACCTGCACTTTTATCCGGGGCTATACGGTACGCGTCCCAGTAGTACAAACACACATGTCAAAGCACTCAAACATGCCACAAGTCAGCACACGCAAACAAGCTCAGCTCCTCCTGATCGTATTCACAGACCTGCAAGACTACAACACCATAGCTGCTGCAGCCAAACAGCTCAGCCAGCTCCGTAAAATTCATAGCTACACACACTGTAAAAAACGGCCACCTTGGTTATGATTGCCTGATTCTGTTTAGACCCTCTTAGCTGTCGTCCTGCTGCTAGGCTGTCATCCTGTTGCTCTTCCTGTCTCTCTTCTTGTCCCACCTCACTCCTCCTGCTTCTCTTCCTGTATCTCCTCCTTACTCACCTCCTGTTTCTCCTCCTTTCTCTCTTCCTGTTTTTCCTGCTTTCTCTCCTCCTGATTCACTTCCAGTTTCACCTCCTCTCGCTCCTCCTGCTTCTCCTCCTGTCTCCTACCCGAACCATTCTCTATCCCAACCGACGACACCTCCTCATGGCCTTCTGTTCCCTCACTTCCTTCCTCACACCCACGCACCTCCAAGCTCTCACCCCTCACACTCCCCCCCCTCCTGCTCTCCCCCCTCACACTCCCCCCCCTCCCGCTCTCTCCCCTCCCGCTCTCTCCCCTCCCGCTCTCCCCTTTCCTCATGCTGAGAGCAAACGTGCTAAGCCCTTCAAGCACCTCCAGAGCCTCAACCATAGAAGGCCGGTCTGCCGGCAATCGAGCCGTGCACATGAGACCTAGCATCACCACCGCCTCCATCTCATCCGTGTATTTCTCCCAGTTCTCGATCCGACGGTCCACAATCTCCTCCAGCGGGTTCGTACTGACCCACCGAGATATAACCGTTTCTGACAGGACTTTATCCAAGAGAAGCTTCCCGGTAACTACCTGCAGCGCCACCACCCCAAACGCAAACACGTCGCTTTTGAACGACAGCCGCCCGCGCTGAACATACTCGGGAGAGAAATACCCAACCGTGCCAAACAGCCGAGTGCTCATATAGGATTTCCCCATATCCATCTCTCTCGCGAGGCCGAAATCAGCGACTTTGGGCTCAAAGTTGTCGTCCAGGAGCACGTTAGCGGGCTTCATGTCGCGGTGAATGATGCCCGGGATGCAGTTGTGGTGCAGGTACTTCATGCCCCGTGCCGTGCCCGCGAGAATGTTCCGCCGCACCTCCCAGCGATGCATGGGAGAGCCCTTGGCCATGTCGCGGCTGAGGATGTCATCTAAGGAGCCTCCCGGCAGGAAGTCGTAGATGAGAAGGCGCTCCTGGGAGGGCGGGCGGGAGAGGTATGCCGCCACCAGCACCACCAGGTTGCGGTGCCGCACTGCTCCCAGTGTGTGCATTTCCGCCTCAAACTCCCGCTGGCCCTGGGAGGAGCCCTGTGCTAGCTGCTTTATCGCCACCTCCTGCCCGTCCGCTAGTGTCGCTCTGGGGGAAATGGGGGAGGGAGGGAGCGAGCAGGGCAAAGGAAAGAACATGGAGGTGGGTAAGAACTCCTAGTGTAATGAGTCGAGTTTTGAGTCGACTCAAAACTCGACATGGAGGTGGGTAAGACAGCGGAAGTGGAAGTGACAGAACTCCTAGTATTTCTCACCCATGAGGTGAGACAGCCCACTCCTGTGCACCCACACCCTGTGCAATCTCCGCCATTCACTAGCAGTAGCAGCCAACCAGGGGCTGCCATATCTCCCCCAACTACATTGCCAGGGGCAGCGCCAGACCCACTTTCTCCCTATTATCCCAGCAGTGCCGCCTCTCTCCCATGCAAACAGCACTCGCCCCTGCAGCACTCACAACAACTACCCATTGCACTCCCCTTTAGGCCACACTACTTGTAGACGGAGCCAAAGCCACCCCGGCCAAGAAGGAACTTTTCGTTGAAGGTGTCAGTGGCATGTGACACTTACCTACTCCCCCCCTTCTTGTCCCTCACTAGTACGTACGCACCACTTCCCCCCCTCCCCCAACTCACTTGTAAACGGAGCCAAAACCACCCCGGCCAACAAGGAACTTTTCGTTGAAGGTGTCGGTGGCGTCGAGGATGGAGCGGATGTTGAGTTTGAAGTCGAGGCGCTCAAAGACGAGCATGGTGCCGCCCTCCAGCCCCGTGCTGCGCTGGTAGAACAGCGCGTACCACACGCCGCCCACCGCCAAGGCCAGCGCCGCCACGCACCCCACCACGATCCCCACCACCGCCCCCGTCGACAGCGCCTGCCCGGGCGGGGCCGGGCAGTCGGGGTAGCCAGCTCCGCCGCACAAGGCGGGGTTGGCGGCAAAGGCGGAGGTGGGGAGCAGCGAGAGGTTGCCCGGGTAGATCGGCCCGGAGAGGTTGTTGTATGAAAAGTCGAGCGCCGTGGCCGTGGTGTTGGTATTGGAGAAGCCAAAGGGAATTGAGCCGGAGAAGGTGTTGTGAGAGACGTTGAACAGCGAGAGGAAGGGCAGGAAGGGCGGGGCGAGCTCCGGTGGGATGGGGCCGGAGAGGCCGTTGCGGCTGACGTCTAGCAGCGAGAGGTATGACAAGGAGCTGAGCGAGGAGGGGAGGGACGAGGACAACCCGTTGCCGCTCACGTCCAGAACCTGCAGCCGGTTCAGCAAAGCGACGGCGCTGGGAATCGAACCCGCGAGCACATTGCTCGACAGGTTCAGCTCTCTGGACGAGCTTAGGAGGAAAATGTTCTCAGGGATTTCTCCCTTGATACGGTTACCACCGAGCCGAACCGACACCAGAACAACGGATTTTGAGAGCTTGTCAACCACGTCAGCTGCAGTTCCTGAGAGCTGGTTGTTGGAAGCATCGTAGAAAATGATGTTATGGCACGTGGCGAGCGCTTCAGGAGCAGCGGGGCCGGAGAAATTGTTGTGGTCTAAGAAAAGTTGACGGAGCCTTGAACAGTTGCCGCCCAGAGGGATGGGCCCCGTGAAACTGTTGTGGCTCAGTTTCAGCTCGGATATGAAGAAAAGCTGCTGCTGCTGCTGCCGCCAGTGCTGCTGCCGCCACGGCCGGTGCTGCTGCCGCCACGGCCGGTGCTGCTGCCGCCACGGCCGGTGCTGCTGCCGCCACGGCCGGTGCTGCTGCCGCCACGGCCGGTGCTGCTGCCACTGCTGCTGTGACTGTGCGGTTTTTGGACTGCCCGCTGTTTAACCCCACTAAGACGTCGGGCAGGTCACCTGAGAGAGAATTGTTTGCCAGGTCTAGAAACATAATCTGCTTGCAAATGAAACCCGGGGGGATGCTGCCCGTGAAGGAATTATTCGCCAGTAGTACTGCAGCCAGCTCTGTGGCAAGCGGACAAGATTTCAAATCGGGCAGCGAACCGGAAAGATTGTTGTCACTGGCATCAAACTGCACGAGCATTGCAATCTCTGCAAAGACGGGCGACAGGCTGCCCGAAAATCTGTTCTTCTGAAGCTGCAAGGATAACGGCATGTAAGACGCAGAGAGAGACTTCCAGAGGCTGGGCGGCAGGGGTCCCGTGAGGTTGTTGCTAGACACATCCAAATATAGGAGCATCATGGCGCATTTGTCTAGACTCCCTGGCAGAGTCCCCCAGAACTGGTTGGATCCCAACGAGATGGCGAGGATGCTCGTGGTGCATGCGAAATAGAGTGGCAGGGACCCGGTAAAGTGATTGCTGGTGATCTGGAGAGTAGCCAGGTTTGTGAAGGCTGAGAGGAACGCGCCTCCCTGTGGGAGCGAGCCAGAGAATTGGTTGTGGCTGAAATCGAGGTTCTGAAGAGACTGGAGGTTGGAGATAGAAGCTGGTAGGGATCCTGAGAAGTTGTTGCCTTGAAGGGATAAGCCCGCGAAGGCCGGTTTCATCCCGAGTTTTTTCAGCTGCCCGATTTCCTTGGGCAGGCTGCCCGAGAGATGGTTCTCTCCCAGATCCAGGTCCATAAGTGTCTTGCTTAGCAGAGAGATCTGCGGCGGAATTGGCCCGGAAATAGCATTTAAGGAAAGCTTTAATAATTCGAGATTTGAGAGAGAGAATAGGGCGGTAGGAAGAGTGCCTGTGATGAGATTGCCATTTAGATTCAGCTTCTTGAGGGCCTTTAACTGCGAGATGCCATCGGGTATCCCTCCAATCATGCGGTGAAACGTGAGCTCTAGTTTTCCCAGAGACGAGCAGGCGGAGAGCTGCGTTGGGAAGGCCCCAACCAGGCCTGCAATGGCTTGATAGCTTGGGTCGTTCCTGATGGTGAGATTCTGTAGCGCGGTGAGGGATGAGAACTCCTGCGGTAGAAGAGGAGGGATGGCCGGACTGCTGCTACTGCTGCCACTCGTGTTGTTCGCCAAACTCGTAGCGATGGCGGTTGTGACATTCGGCACGGAACCCAAGAGAACACCCAGATCAGCTCTACTGATCCATTCGTCCGACCCAAATTCAGAGTCCGGCATTTGCAAGGCAATCACTCTCCGAGAAGCGGTCGCTGCCGCCTCCGCCGCTGCTCCCTTTGCTGCTCCTGCTGCCGCTCCTGCTGCTGCTCCTGCTGCCGCTCCTGCTGCTGCTCCTGCTGCCGCTCCTGCTGCTGCGGCTCCGAGCGGGGGAGGGGGGGAGCAGGAGACGAAGCGCCAGCGGCAGAAGAAGGCGTCGGGGGAGAGAGAGGAGTTGGCAGCGTGGCGAGGCACGACCCACGAGCGCAGCACGTTCTGAAAGTCCACGACTGACGCCTTAAACGCCAATAGCGCGTTCAGCTCCGCCCCTGCCTGCTCGTCCGCCCACGGGGATGCAGTATCAGCCATAGCCGGAGGAGCGCAGGTGCAGCAGAGGGAGAGGGCGCAGGAGTGTCAGCAGTAGTACCACCACTAGTGGTGGCAGTGAAATCTGCTGTTCCTATTCCACTACCTGCTGTTCCTATTCCACCACCTGCTGTTCCTATTCCACCACCTGCTGTTCCTATTCCACCACCTGCTGTTCCTATTCCACCACCTGCTGTTCCTATTCCACCACCTGCTGTTCCTATTCCACCACCTGCTGTTCCTATTCCACCACCTGCTGTTCCTATTCCACCACCTGCTGTTCCTATTCCACCACCTGCTGTTCCTATTCCACCACCTGCTGTTCCTATTCCACCACCTGCTGTTCCTATTCCACCACCTGCTGTTCCTATTCCACCACCTGCTGTTCCTATTCCACCACCTGCTGTTCGCCCATCTGATTGGCGAGCGGATGTTCCTGGATGCCTTAAAGCCACCCTTCGCGCACTTGCTTTCGGCTCGTCCTCCTCCCATGCTGCTCTTGTATGTGATGCTGTTCCGTTGCTGTGGCTACTGGCTCTGCTGTTCCCATGGCTGCTGCTGCTGCTGCTGCTGCTGCTGCTGCTGCTGCTGCTGCTGCTGCTGCTGCTGCTGCTGCTGCTGCTGCTGCTGCTGCTGCTGCTGCTGCTGCTGCTGCTGCTGCTGCTGCTGCTGCTGCTGCTGACACTGTTGCTGCTGCTGCTGCTGCTGCTGCTGACAATGTTGCTGCCAGTCCTGAGAGCTGCTGCTGCTCTCTCCTCCCCAGCAGCAGCACTTTCGAGCTGCGACCTCCCCTTCTCACACCGCCCTCTCTCTTCGTTGAATCGGGAGGTCCCCGGGCAGAAATAAATTCCTGGGCGAGTAGCCAGAGCAGCGAAAGTAGGCCCTGGTAGCATACGATTGGTGGGAGATGGAACCATGGAACAAAACAAATGAACAACGAAATAAAGGGGGGCTTCTGGGGGGAAGAAGGACTTGCTAGATACAATTCCCCTTACATGTAAAAACCGAACAATGAGAGAATGCTACAGCCCATGGCCCGTCTTCCAATGAAGAAAGAAAGAGAGCGAGAGAACGAAAATGAACTCCACACAAAATAATGAGGAGAAGGAGAGTGAGACAGCCCTTAAATAGCTCTGGAGGGCAGAGGGCAGAGGGATGAGGCAGAGGGCAGAGGGCTAAGGGATTCCTCTCTCTCTCTCTCTCTCTCTCTCTCTCTCTCTCTCTCTCTCTCTCTCTCTCTCTCTCTCTCTCTCTCTCTCTCTCTCTCTCTCTCTCTCTCTCTCGAATGGTCCTTGCATTTCTTTGGGGGGTGGTACAACGGAAGGTGCAAAACACACAAGCACAAGCTCAACAGAAAACCGGCATCCTAACTATTCCAAGTCCCCTACCTACTCTGCCCCCCCCCCTGTCCGGCCCTACTGGTCGAACGGGGCCTCAATCAACTGGTGCAGCTGTCCCTCACTGAGAGGGATGATGGGTCCTCTAAAACCGAGCTCGTCCGCCGCCAAGGCCTCATTGGTCTTGGTGCGGAGGGCGTTGGCCTGTGCCCGCTGGAGGCACACGCTCCAACGCTGGCGGTACTCCGTCAGAAGCTTCGCTGCTTCGTAGGAGGTAGGGGCTGCGTTAAACCGCAGCTTTGCCGCCAGCTCCGCGCATTGCCGCAGGTAAGCCAGCACCCCCGGCGAGGGGTAGTCGTATGTTTCCACTGCGAGCGCGTGGAACCCCACCCGCGTGTTCCGCCGTGCGTACTTCTCCTCCTTTTTTGCCGCTGCCGCCCTAGCTGCCCAACCAGGAGCTCGGTTGCAGTTCTCGTCCTGGTATGACATCGGGTCCGTCACGGTCACGTCGCACATCCAAACCTCCCCGGTCAGTGGATGACGGATGGTGACATCCGCCTTTAGGTTTTCAACCAGTGAGTAGACATACGTCTCCTTATGAACCGTAAAACCCGCCTCAGCCCCGATATTTGCTATCTCATCCCGCAGAGCGTGATGGGTAGCGGTCCTCCCTTTCCCCTTCTCGCAGCGCATGAGGTGGTTGGGGAGGCGGTCGTCGGGGAAGGTGGTGCGGTAGCGGCAGTCACAACGTCTAGGCACTGGGAGGGGGAGGCCTAGGCGGAAGGCAGCTGCAGTTGAGAGCTGGGAGGGGCCCATTCGGAGCGAGGGGATGAGCGGGATCGCCAGCAGCCAATCCCCCGCTCCTGGGCCTAGCACCGACTGCATCCGTTGCGCATGGCCTGAAAGGGGGTTGGGGCGCATCCGCCTTGCCTCGCGCATGGCCCTCAAGAAGCGGCGGGAGTGAACCGCCAGCGCTAGGCTCTGCTGCAGCTTCAGTCCCTTGGGGTCTGTCTTCCCGGCCTGGAGCACCTCGAGAGCCTCAGGTGGGAGAGCTGCCTCAGCCGCGGCGAGGCGTGCAGGCAGCGCGTGCGGGGAGCCGTGGGTAGGGTCCAGTAGGGGGAGGAGCGCGGCGACAGCAGGGTGTAACGACTCCTCCAGGGAGTGTAGAAGGTGGGCGGCGCTGATCACTGAAGCGAGGTAAGCGTAGCTGGGGAGGAGGAGTCACTGGGCTGGGCCATCTGGGCCAGCATGCGGAGTGGGGATGCTGCTACTGCCAGTCTCTCTCTCACGGCGCCCGCGCACCCCCGGGGTGTGCCAACCGGGCTGCCGAGAATCTGCAGTCCCTCATCAGAGATAGTAATTCCCGGGGGCACTGCAGAGGGGTCGATTGGAGCGGCGGACCACGCCGCGCATTTGGCCGGGTTGTGTACCAGGCCGAGGGCGGCAAGTGCGGATGTGAGGTGGTCGAAAGCTGCTGTGCAGGCCGAGGCGTCGCCGAGCAGCGTGATGTCATCGGCGTACGCCAGCAGGACCACCTGAGGGTGTGCCGCCGCCGTGGCAATGAGGCACGGGTGGATGCTTGCCGCGAACAGGAGGGGGCCGAGCGGGTCCCCTTGGCGAACTCCTCTGGCGCTCTGCAGCGGGGCTGCGCCGAAGTCGTGGTCGAGGTAGAGCGAGGAGGGAGCCCCGTAGGATAGGCGGACGAGGGGGATCAGCTTCTTCAGCGCCTCGTTTCTCAGTCCTTCGAACACCGCTCTCCTTTCTACCGCGTTAAAAGCGTTCGCGAGGTCGATCTGCAAGGCCACTGCAGCAGGGTGCACTTCCAGGTACGTGCGAGCGGTGTGGATAGCCGCTTCGATCCCCCCTGCTACTGCCACGCCGAATTGAAGGGGGGCAAAGTGAGTACGGGCGGCTGGCGCGGTCAGGAAGAGGGCGGCCTTTGCTATAATCCGGAGGAGACACTCCCCCACCGCTATTGGCCGCGTCCCTCCTTGGGGTTTCGTAAAGGCTAGCAGGCGGGAGGCCGTGAGAAGATCCCCCGCGGCTGTTGGGAGATTCCCTGCTAGAGCTGTGTTGGAGAGGGCGAGGAGGTGGGAGAGTACTTCGGCATTCCCTAGGGCTGCGTCGCGGATATGCTCGAAAGTGGTTCCTGAGGGGCCGGCCCCGACTCCGTTGGGGAGCTTGGCGAGGAGGCGCCTGAAGTCGCGGGCTTCGATAGTGGGTGGGTCTTCAGCCGAGGCGGTGTGGAGCCAGTCAGGGAGAAGCTGGCTGGCAGGTGGATGTCTCGTCGCGAGGGCTTCCATCACTTCAGGTGAGGCAGGTGACACAGGGGTGGTCTGGAGGGATTGGAGTGATTTTGACAGGTTACCCCGTTTTGCCAGACCTTCCGCCCGTGCCAGTATTCCAGTTGTGTCGAGTGAGTGGCGAGGCTGCGGAGGCAAGGAAATCGCCTGGACAGCTTCTTCGTATAGGTCCGCCCAGAGCCCTTGGCGAAATCGCAGGAGCCGATTCATCATCGCGCTCCAGTCAGGTTTACGGGCTGACGAGGTGCGAAGGAGTATGCGCGGGAGAAAGGTCAGTAGTTTCCATCCTGGCGCGGACTCGGGATTGGCCGCCAGGTGGAGTAACGGCGTCAACATACAGATCGCGAAGGAGTCGCGAAGGTCTTTGGGGGGGTGGCGAGCGAGAGGAGGTTGGCGACTGTCACGCAGCGGGTCGAGGTCCCAGACTGCAACCTGAGCGAATAGCTCAGAGTTTTTCGCCAGGTCGTCAGGTTTGAGCATCGGGGGAGTTGGACTCGGGGCTGCGGAATTTTCATTGGCTGTTGCAGAGTCAATTCTTTCTTCTGGAGCGGCTCGATTTCCCCTCCTTGCTTGAATTCCCCCCGCGGTTCGATCCCGAACTGAGGTTCGGTTTGCAGGTTCACCTCTGGCCTGCTGGTTTGGGAGCTCCGCTTTTCGCAGCAGCTCCAACTCTTCCTCGTCCTCCTCGGCCTTTGCTTCTAACATCCCCTCGCTTTCAGGGTTAAAGGCAGGGTCCCCCTCTTCACTTTCCTCATTCTCCGCTTCCTCCTCTGCTTCCTCGCTAAGTGGTTCCACGTCGCCCTCCGCGCCGTTTCGCATCAGCCTTTCCACATTCCTCGCGTAGCCGCTTGCACCAGATCGGCGCCTGTTCGAACCTCGTGCTCCACCACCTCTTCGTCCTCTCTCGTTGCCTCGTCGTCCGCGGCGGCTGCCGCGTCCTACGCGGATTCCCCGCGTTGCTCGTCCCACAGCAGCTCCCTCGCGCCCTGTCTGCGGCGCCGCGGCCGTCTCGTTTTCGCTTCGTCGCCGCACTGGCGTCGGCTGCGGTAGGATCGGGGGTGATGGACCCATCCGTGAGACGGGATCCGGAGCTGGAGGGTTCCGCGGAGAGCTCGCTACCGCAGCCTGCGCCTGCCGGGCCTCGTCCGCGTCTCCCTGCGCACCCCTCCGCGAGCGAGCCCGTGCACCACTTCGAGCGGGTTCAAACACTTCCCCATCGTCCTGCCGCGCGCCCCGCCTCGCCAGAGTATACGTGGGCGCCTGCTCGTGTTGCGTCGAACCGCCCGGACGGTCAGCCGCGGCAGGAGCGCGGGTGCTCGCCTCTGCGGCACCCTCAACAGCCGCCCTCTCCTCGCCACCCTTCTCCTGAGCGTCGCGAGCACTATCAGCGCGGGGAGGGGGGTAAGCGTTCTCCTGCACGTCCTCGCTCCCCTCGCCGCCCATCCCCTCGTGGTCAGGCAGGCCAGCGCTCACCGCGAGCGCGATCCCCCGCGCAACGTTCTCCTCGGCGATCTCCGGCGACGCGGGGGAGGGGGTCGCCTGGTCGTCCCTGGGATTCGGGTCGCCGCGAGCAGTCCCCCCCGCGTCCACATTCGGCTGGTTCCGGGGGACGGCGGGGCTGGCGGAAGGGCGGAGGGCGAGGCGGGAATGGCAACCAGCCTGATCCAGCCCTCGATCATGCTGCGGACACGTTCGTGGAGGTGGTGAGGCAGGCCCGGGCGAGTGGGGCGCCGACTCACGTCCATATTGAGGTGACCAACGGTCCCCCCTTCGCCGCGGACCCAGGCCAGGTCGCTCCTCTGCGTGCGCCGACGCTGCGCGAGTATCAGCCCGCGCGTGAGGGGAGGGCTCAGTTCCGCACCCCCCGTCAGGTTCCCGGCTTCTCTGCGCCGCGCTTGGCTGTTGGCCGGACTCCTGGCTGGCCGGCGGCGTTTCCGCGCGAAGCGCAGACTGCACCTCTCCCCACTCGCGCGGGGAGAGACCCCATGCTGACCATGTGCCGGGTTCTGAATCTGGCGGAGGCGTGCGAGGTGGTGGCGAACTTGCAGCTGGCGGTGTGTGGGGCCACGAGGAGCTTTCCGAGCAGTTTTGGTCCAGGGACCCGAGGATCCTGCGTGACTTAGGCAGAATCACTCGAGTCGCCGTTGGCACCCGTGTCGGACGCGCCCGCCGGGGTAGCTCCCTTAGCCCGTACTTTCCCCCGCCACGTGGGGGATCTTGTAGGGGCTGCTCAAGCCGGGACCCCCTTGGACACACTCCAGTCGTCGGCGCATCTCCTTCTTGCGTTGTCGGCGTGCATGCGCTCGATGCTTGAGGTGGAGGGGGCGGAGCCGTACACGATGTAGGCCTCCGCCTTGTGTAGAATTGCATGCCGCGCCTCTTGCTCCTGCCCAGCTCCTTGCCTTTGTGTGTGTGTGTGCCCTATATAAGCCGATCCTCCGTTTTGTGTCTTGCCACCAGAAACGCGCGGCCGAAGGCCGCCGGCGCGAGCCGCGGAAAACTGAGAACACACGAAATAATGAGGAGAAGAAGGCACCAAGGGCCCTTAAATAGGCTCAGAGGAAGAGGGCCGAGGGAAGAGGAAGAGGGCTGGGTGCTAAGTCCTCTCTCTCTCTCGCTCTCTCCAGCCGCGGAAAACTGAGAACACACGAAATAATGAGGAGAAGAAGGCACCAAGGGCCCTTAAATAGGCTCAGAGGAAGAGGGCCGAGGGAAGAGGAAGAGGGCTGGGTGCTAAGTCCTCTCTCTCTCTCTCTCTCTCTCTCTCTCTCTCTCTCTCTCTCTCTCTCTCTCTCTCTCTCTCTCTCTCTCTCTCGCTCTCTCCCGCCGAAAATGAACTCCACACAAAATAATAAAAAAGCATAGAACGTTCTTTTAAAGAACGTGAGGGAATGGTGGACAATGCGGCGAGTGGTTCTTCTGAAGCTTGCTGTATGTGGGAGTATTTCTGAGCACGAGGAGACGCAGGGTGAGGCACGAGGTGAGGCACGAGGCGAGGCACAAGACAAGTGTACACGTGGCAGGGGCGCATGTCTGCGGAGCTGCGCGCATACCTGTGGTCAGCTGCGCGCATACCTGTGGTCAGCTGCGCGCATACCTGTGGTCAGCCGCGCGCATACCTGTGGTCAGCTGCGCGCATACCTGTGCGGCGGATGAGAGAGCGCATCCCCGTGAAGGCCGTCTGACAGCCCGCGGCACCAGTTGTCCCCCGCTCGACTCGCATCTCTCCTCGCCGTGCGCTAACAGCGGGGCAGTGGAGGGAGGGGGGGGGGGTGGAGGGGGAGGGGGAGAGGGTGGGGGTGTGGGGAGGAGGGAGGGGAAATGGGGAGCAGGACGGGGAGACCGCCAATGTTTTTTTCATATTAAAAATAAAACCACAACAACAACGAAGGTTCCGATGCGGCGATGTCGGAATAACGGCGCAGGTTCAGCGACAAGTGATCATCTGCCTTGCATCAGAAGTTGACGGTGTTCCCCTGCATCAAACTCTCCTTACTTTATCCTTTCATTTATTTACCTTGAATCACGCTCCCATCTAAACCTCTGGGCCAAAACGGGGGTTGCTTAGAAGCGCAGCGGTATTCCTTCGTGTAGCCGCGCAGACGACATCACGCCTTCTCACGCTGCCGCATCTCGAGCGATCGGCGATCCGCAACCAGCAATCAACAATCAACCAGCCCTGTTACAGAGCGCTTGCGACGGCTTGGAAGGAGGCGCTGACCCACTGGTGGGATTGCGCGGAGCAGCGACTGTGCCACAGTAAGGACTGGAGGCGTATTCTCGACTTACCAGCAGGCGGTCGTATTCTCTACGACTACTACGACGCCCTCCCGCTCTGCGCTGCGCCGCTTCCGCTTGCGCGTCTCTTCCGCGGCGGCGCGCGCCTACGACTCCTAGACGCGCAAGCTGCTGCGCGCGGACCCGCGCATGCGCTAACCGCGCTTCGTCCTCGGGGGAAAGCGCGGCTCTTCTGCGCGCGCCGGCACTAACGCCGCCGGCGCCGCCGACGGTAGCGACGAAGGAGGCAGCTGCGGCGGATGCCGCGGCGGATGCGACGGATGCGGGGAATGCGGTGGTCACGTAGTAGATAACCATCATCGCCGCCAGTGGGGGAGCAGCGAGGTAGAAATGCCAGGGATTATGGCCGCTGAAATGGTTTCGACACACCGTCGCCATGATAACGACGTCTGGAGCACTACTTAGATTAGCGGTTTGTACGATTCGCTAGAGATATGTTTAAGGCTCGCGGTCGCCTAAAAAACAAGGAACTCGCACAGCGGCTCGTTTACTTCCGACGACCTCGCTTGCGAAAACATCTCATCCTAACCCGCCTTTTGCATCTCTTGCTGTTACTGAATCGTCGCTCTCCCGTCCGATGCGATTGAATAACAACATCCCCATCCAGCGACAGTAGCAGCGTCGTTTGAAGGAGCATCCAGTGTCGATGGCTGGAGCTGTGGCTGACTACCAAGACCAGAAAAAGCTGTGGCGCGATGCGGACCCCAGATAGAGAAAAAGGGCGAAATCACCCGCGTCGGCGAAAATCGTGTTTGTCTCAATTGAGTCGACCTAAATTGCTCCCTGCTCGCCACGTGGGCGTTTTTCTAAATTGGATCGACCTCCCTTCCCCCCGCCCCCCCAGCCCCCTTTTCCCGCCCTTTCCCCACCGTCATTCGGGCAGCCGCATGCTCTCGCGTGAACTTCGGAATTGCCACAAGCAGTCACGAAAAGCAACCAACCAACCCCATGGCACGTGTAATTGAACGTGCAGGAAGCCACATCATTTGTGCCAACAAAATTTCGGAATTTTCTGGGCCATGTATTATAACTCGAGAGGCTTATATACAGGTTGATTGTACTGTGTCCTTCGGGATCTGGCCATGTCATTTCTGGCCTTCACGGTTTCATGATCGAAGCATTCGTGATCCTCAACGGTTCATGAACCCTTCCGTTAGCATCATGTTCCTGTGAAGCTTAGGCGAGTCTCCTGTTTTACAATACCGGGTAGACACTCAACGCAGTCATTACTTTAGGCAACTCATATCCGGGCCCGCATTAGTACTCCACTCAATAGTCATAGCTTATCTCTGCCAAAACTGGTCACCATGTAGCGTCTATCGCGTGCGTATGGCCTCTAATCCCTTAGCGCAGGCCTTGCGACAGCTTAATGCGGCTCCCGAGTTCAACCCTAGGTACGACAGGCCTAATGATTACGCGTCATTGGAGCTGGGGGGCCTGTACTCTAGCCGTGATAAATGCAAGGAGGCCGTTTATGCGTACGCTCTAGAGCATCGGTTTGGTGTAAAAGTCCTTTTAGTGAAGCATAACTACGCAGTGGTTGGATGCAAGGCTTCATCGGACGGATGGTTACCCGCGTGCCTATGGAGCTGCACATATGGGCAAATCGGCCACGGTGGTTTATGGCGTATTACGCGACTCGTTTCTCCGGAGATGCATACGTGTCCGTTGCATTGGAGGCAGGGTTACGCCGAGGGGTTAGCCAACACTATTCCCATCCTCGCTCGGCGATACGGAAATTTGGTCCGTGCAAATCCTTTCATCTCACCCGTGGAGCTCAAAAGAATGCTCGAGGGTCACGGAAGGGTAGTGATCCACTACTGGCAGGCTTGGCGGCTTCGAGAGTACATCTTAAAGGAGCGATATGGAGATTGGAAGGAGTCCTTTCGCCAGGTTCCGTGGCTTCTCACTCGTTTCACAGTCATCGATCCGGAAGTTCAAGTGCGGTTGGACACATTAGATCGGTGTTTCCACCGATTCTACGTGCGTCCCTCTGCAGCACGGCATGCGTTAAATTATTGCCGCCCGGTTGTTGCGCTCGACGGTACACATCTCATTAGTGCGCAGAAGGCTGTGCTGCTCATCGCCGTCACCATTGACGGGAACCAGGAGATTTTGTTACTTGCATGGGCCTTGGTGGAGTCGGAGAACAAGGACGCGTGGACATGGTTTCTGAAGCTGTTCCTTGAGGGGTTCCCGGAGTGGGCGCGTAGGGACGATGCCTCCATCATCAGCGATCGCGATAAGGGGTTGGTGCGGGCAGCAAGGGAGGTGATGCCAAGCCACATCCCCCATTATTTCTGTGCCTGGCATCTGGAGCAGAACCTTAAGCGGTTCGGCAAAGCGGCAACAGCGTTCTTCTGGCGGTTGGTGAAGTGTCGGTCTGAAACGAAATGGGTTGCGCTTGTCGGGGCCGCACGACGAGATTTTCCTGACATGGCCGCATATCTGTTCGGGCCTGTCCGGCAGCAGCCACAGCCACAACCCCAGCCGGCTCCTCAGGTCCCCCCTCCTGGAGCCCGGGCAACATTTGATGGGGCCAGGGATTTCGTGTTCGCGGATGCTCGCGAAGGGAGGAGGGCACAGCGAGGGCAGGAGCGTGGTGTCAACGCGGGAAATGGTGGCGTCGACACCGCGTCCCAACCCGAAGGGAGTGGGTTCCCGGAGGGCAACACGTCCGCGTACAACAGGCGTGGCGGCGGTCTGGCTGGCAGGGGGGGGATGAACGCACCTGGAAGACGGGCCAGAGCGCACGAGGGTATTGGAGTCCCTTCAGGGATACCAGACGAAGGGGATGGCGGAGCGGCTGCTTTTGGCATCGGCCGTGGAGGGCGAGGACGAGCTTCATCTGGACGTGGTCGCAGAGGGAGAGGCGGTGGCGTTGCAGGGGCGGGCCTTGGCAGGGGAGGTAGAGGAGTGCCCCCCGCGGCCGATTGCGGAGGGCAGGGGGGTGGCGGATCAGACTTCACGGGGGTTGGTGGTGGAGTACGGGAAGTGCCGCTCGGTGGGGCCGGCGGGGAGCAGGGGGATGCCGGCGCGGGATGGTCCGGCATTGCAGGTGGAGGGAGGGGAGTCCCGCTTGGTGGGGCTCCTGGAGGGCAGGGGGGTGCAAGAGCAGGATGGTCCGGCATTGGAGGTGGAGGGAGGGGAGTCCCGCTTGGTGGGACTCCTGGAGGGCAGGGGGGTGCAGGAGCAGGATGGTCCGGCATTGGAGGTGGAGGGAGGGGAGTCCCGCTTGGTGGGGCTCCTGGAGGGCAGGGGGGTGCCGGAGCAGGATGGTCCGGCATTGGAGGTGGAGGGAGGGGAGTCCCGCTTGGTGGGGCTCCTGGAGGGCAGGTGGGTGCCGGAGCAGGATGGTCCGGCATTGGAGGTGGAGGGAGGGGAGTCCCGCTTGGTGGGCCTCCTGGAGGGCAGGGGGGTGCCGGAGCAGGATGGTCCGGCATTGGAGGTGGAGGGAGGGGAGTCCCGCTTGGTGGGGCTCCTGGAGGGCAGGGGGGTGCCGGAGCAGGATGGTCCGGCATTGGAGGTGGAGGGAGGGGAGTCCCGCTTGGTGGGCCTCCTGGAGGGCAGGGGGGTGCCGGAGCAGGATGGTCCGGCATTGGAGGTGGAGGGAGGGGAGTCCCGCTTGGTGGGCCTCCTGGAGGGCAGATGGGGGCCGGAGCAGGATGGTCAGGCATTGGAGGTGTAGGGAGAGGAGTCCCGCTTGGTGATGCTTCTGGAGGGCGAGGACGCGCCGGAGCAAGATGGTCTGGCATCGGGAGTGCGGATGGGGGGGAGCCGTTGTTCGGCCCTGGAGCACGACATAGTGTATATGCTGCGAGCGGTGAATTGGTAGGGTCTTGGCCCAGTCCTCACACTGCAGGACCCAGGCGACACCAAAGCGGGCCACGCGGTGATGTTACGTTTGGGGTTGGCCTGGGCGCGAATTTCATGGGTGGGGTGGGGTCCGTTGGAAGGGGGGGCTCACCAGTGCCCTCTGGGGGCGACGTGCAGCGAGCTCCAGCATCTGTGCGTGATAATGGTTTGGCATCATGCTCCACAGGTGATGGGATAGGCGCTCTCACCACTGTGGGGAACCCGGGTGCACGAGCATTTGACGTCAACACGGTCCTGCGACGTGCCCGGGAGTGGTACCGGGCAGATGACATTGACACGGGGAGGACCACGGGCACTCAGGGATCAGAGATGGGTGGGTTTACTGAGCACTTCCACCCAGCATCGGCTCTGGCTTTGCCATGGCCAGACTGCGGGCAGCGGGAGAACATTCCTGTGCAAGGGCCGGACGAGCCAGCAAGTGAGGATGATCCGGTGCCAGTGGATGCTAGGGAGGATGGGGATGAGGCGGCCGATGATGAGGGAGAACCCGGAATACATGTCCGAACCGGGTTCTATCGTAATAGGCGCGGATCATCTTATCGCATTGGGGGAATCATGCTGCTGCACTGGGCCCGTCTTTTTGCGGTGACACTGCGTTTTGGCATCTACACAAGCAACGCCGCCGAGTCCATCAACAGCGCTGTCCGCGGCATCCGAATGCTGCCACCAACATGGCTGCTGGCATCACTTTGGGATTGGTCTCGCGACAAGTGGTACGAGAGGAAGGAGAAGGCGCGCTGCAGGGATGAGTATCTCACGGCTGCCGCATCGAAACGACTGGACCAAAAGAAGCAGAGGTGCCAGGGGTATTGGTTCATCGGTGGGGACAACTCTGTTGGAACCATCCAGACCAGGGGGGGGGAAAACGAGTTCCAGTGGCGTAGCTTCAACGTGAACCTCGATGCCCGGACGTGCGAGTGCGGGAACTGGGAGGAGTACCAGTTCCCTTGTGCCCACGCCGTGGCAATGTGCATATTGAAGCAGCGGAGTGTGGAGATCCTTGTGTCTGAGTACTACACCGCTCGCAATCTTCGCCAGACATACAACCGGGATGTGATGGGTACCTGTGTGGACCGGCTGATTATGGAGGCTCCACTGGCAGAAGTGGGCGAGTGCGATGCACCAGCGCTGATTGAGACGAGGGTTGGGAGGCCAGAGAATCACACCCGGTTCGAGGCACCGCCGGACGCTTATCGGTGTGGGCGATGCCGACAGTATGGGCACAACCGCAAAAGGTGCAAGTACAAGTACGGTGGGTACGGTCAGGCGCAGGCTGCGGTGGGGGAGGAGGTGGAGGAGGAGGAGGAGGAGGAGGAGGAGGAGGGGGAGGATGGAACTGCTACAGGAGAGCATGGAGGGGGGGCACCAAGCTGCCCATGAATGAATGGCGAGTAAAACAGGCTTTCCCATGCGAGTATTGGGCCTTGTTTTGTGTCCTTGGATCCCTGCCGAAGAAAACATTTCATTGACGATAGTACTTGAAAATTTAATATACGAAACATAATTGATTATTTGAGTAGTGTTGCTGTGCAAAACTTATTCAACAAGACCCACACAAATCAGGCCAAGAGTTGGGATATTCACGTGTGTAAAGTGTGCACTTGATTCCCTCTGCTTTCTCCTTCAGCTGTGCATAGAGCGTCATGATCGACCGTTTTACATACATGATGCGAGGGCCTGGAAATCGCGGGGCGATGCCGCGCAGCTGTTCATGACGAATCATGAACTCTCCGTAGTGCATGAACGCAGCTCGACCTGTCATGATTCGAACAGCCTTCAAGCGCGGGTCCTGGAAGTCGCGCGTGAATGCCTACACTTTGAATCATGAACAAACTCGTGGTAGTGGCTCGGAAGTTGACTACCTGCACAGACGAACATGAACTCTCATGGACGTGATGCCTGCAACATGATTCGTCGACGGGGTTGAACCTAATTTGCGCGAAGGAACATGAACCGAGAATCGCCCCTTTATTGCGTCTCATTCGCTGTGCGTATTCGTTGTGACGGTGTTGTGGAAAATTATACACCCTCATCCTCTAATAAAATACGGGGTGCACAATGCCACCGGTAAAAATAAAACTGCAAACATTTACTACATGTTAAAACGCAACTGCGGCGCCCAGCAAAACAGCATAGCAACACACTGATCCCACAACAAGTGAAAAGATAGTGTTTTATGAAAAATCTGTTGTACCATGCTACTTGTTGGGCTGAGAAATAGCCCTTAGGATCTTTGCAGAGGAGAACTCTTGGGTAGAAACTTGTAATAGCGGAAGCGTTTAATGAGAGTGGTGAACCAACCTTGCACTGTGTCAAGATAGTAGGGAGCGGGTTTTCCCCTAGGGTGAGAGTCGAGTGAGTTGAGAGGAAAATTGTGAAAAGGTGTGTTTCACTATAGGTTGAGGGGTACATATAGCATAGAAACACAATAAGGTGCACCACCAACAAAAGTTTACATAACTACACTAACTACAACTACAAGCAATTATAAAACATGACAAAATATTTCGACATGCCCCCATAATGCTTATAGGTAGGTGTGTAGTTACAGCAACAGCAGGTACCCCTACCATCTCCTCACCCTCCTCCTTCCCCTCCCCAACACTGCTGCAGAAGCAGCAGAGAAAGGGGGGAAAGAGGAAAGGTGGAGGGACGGCTGCTTGTTGCCTCACCCCCGCCACCCCGGTACCACCCCCCCCCTCACCCACATCCTCACACCCTCCTCCCCCAGCGGCAGCTGCAGCGGTGGGACTGAAAGAAGGAGGAGGGAAAGGGAGAGAGTTGACCCCACGCTCCAACACCCTCCACCCCCATACCCTCCTCCCCACGGCTGCAGGGAGACAAGAGAAAGGGGGGGGTGGGAAGGCAGAAAGCCGCAGAGCGGCGAAGAGGCGTCGGTGCAGATGGGTCAGGGACGGCAGCAGGGAGTGCAGGGGCGGAGAGGCCCGTCGCGGGCCAGTGCCACGGGGCGCACGACGGGTAGGATAAAAGGGCCCGATCGTGTGCCTCGGGGCGCACGACGAGCAGGGCACCATCGTGTGCCTCGGGGCGTACGATGGGCAGATAAAGGGCACCGTCGCGTGCCACGGGGCGCGCGACGGGCAGGATAGGAGTCACACGCCCGTGGGCGGGACAAGGTAAAACTAAAATCGTCACGCGCCCTAGGCGCGCGACCGGAAAATCTCAGCAGCGGAAGAGTAACGCGGGCCCACAGGCCAGGACGAAAACAGCTCCGATAACATGTCAAGATAGTAGGTAATAGAGAGTAGAAACGTGGGGCCTAGGCTTAGTAGCCTAGGCCCTAACTTAGTATCGAGCGGGTTTTCCCCTAGGGTGAGAGTCGAGTGAGTTGAGAGGAAAATTGTGAAAAGGTGTGTTTCACTATAGGTTCAGGGGTACATATAGCATAGAAACACAATAAGGTGCACCACCAACAAAAGTTTACATAACTACACTAACTACAACTACAAGCAATTATAAAACATGACAAAATATTTCGACACACTGGTGTGTGAGAGCAAAGTAGATTAATTGAACAAGCAAATACAAAGGTTTATATAAAAGTACAAGGAATACGAATAGATAGATAGATAACTGTATTGCTGTTGCGGTTCGATATAGTGCGACTCGGGCAACTGCTCTGTAACGAGTCAGTTGTGTGTCCTTAACTGTCGCGCTGTAAATGTCGAGTCAAAGGTCGCTGACCTTTGACTTTCCCGTAACCTCCAGGCGGTTATCCTAACCTTCGAGGTTGACTCGATGCTTCGATTGGGACTGCTTCGCTTGGTGCCTTGGATTTTGACTCGACAGAAGCGTGTTAAGTCTAAGTACTATGCGGAAGCGATTAACTCAGAACCACAAACATAAACTAGGCAACACTTAACATCACTTGTGAACCAAGCGAGTAGTTATGCCACGCTTAGTTTGCAGAATGAGCGTCTTGGTAGAGCAGAGTTTCGGCAGGAGTTCATTGTATATCTACTCTCGTCAATACGTAGTAGTAGATTGTAAGCTTGAAAATCATGAAAGCATTGTTTTTGAAAGCAAATACAAGCACACATATAAGAGAGGTCCTAGGTGCACAAAGGAGAACACACAAAGCAGCGCGACTTTCTGGCGAATTTTCTTGCTTGCCTGGTCAGCGCGAAATCCCGTTAGTCAACCGTAAAATCTCGCGTGCCCCACGTGCCCCACGTGCCCCTCATCACGACCGAGATATTTCTCGGTCGTGCAGGACAAGACGATCGCTGACGCGATCGTGCGTTGTCCTGCGCGTGACGGAGCGATCATGTCGCTCCGTTCTGTATCGATCGTGCGAACTGTGCACGATCGAAACAGTGGCGACACACGCGTGGGCCCTGCACGACCACACGCGCGTGTCAGGACCCCACGCGCGGGTCCTGACTTCGCGCACTTTTTCATTGACCAGCGCGAAATGGTCAACGGGGCTGGTCAAACAATCGAGCCCCTAACTCAACACACTCGACACTCTCAACAGCACTCATGAAAAACCCTCGACATTCATGAGACACAGAGCATTCATGAAACACAGAAAATTCATGAAACACAGAAAATTCATGAACGCACATGTCCGTCGACGAAAAACAAACATGAGCGGACACGAGCTGACATGAACAAACATGAGCCGACATGAACGAACATGAGCCGAACATGATCCCACAGCAAAAAATAAAAAGGAACAGACACAAAATGCATAACTTCACGCAGGCGGCTGGTTGCAGTGCAAAAAATAGTATTTTGCACCCAACAAAGCGTACTTAAGACGTATTGTTTCCAACACTACTCTCGTTTGGGTTTGTTGCCGCCAGGTTGGGGTCTTTAGTGAACTAAAAAACATGGCTCACAGCCAGCAGTTCAACATATTGGTAATGCTACAGTCCTACAAACCCCGCAAAGAGCAACAAAGGCAACAGTGCGAAAACCAGCATGGTGTTCATGAAAATCAGCTCCAAGTAAAAGAGATTACACGCCGATATGAGGCATTGGATCATCGTCACACTTTCGTCAGCTGTTGGGCTCTGACACACTGAAGACGAGAACAGCAGGTTAATGTCTAAACCCTGGCTAGTGCGTTGTCTAAACACCACGCTGCAAGTAATCAATACCTGTCGGGTGGGTTGTCGCGTTGTTGCCCACATCCCCCTCGTCGCTCTCTGGCAACGACAGCGAGGCAAACGCCACCACATCAGCCTGCACAGGGGGGTTGGTTAATGTGGCTTGCGTAGAATGGGCTGGTGGGGCGGGAGTAACCCCCGCAGGCACAGGAGTTGTTCCGACGTGCACAGCAGTAGCTCCACCGGGAGGGGTGGGCTGTGCAGGTGCAAGAGCCACGGCAGGAGGGGCGATGCCTGCATTCGCCGGGGCAAGTGTGGTTGGAGCAGCTGCGGGTGCGGTTGGCGCTGCTGCCACGACAGCGGGGGGTGCAGGGGCGGGTTTGGCACCACCGAGGGAAGCAATCTCGACGCGCCACCTTTCCCACCGCCCCCAGACGCGTGCGGCAGTGAGCTGCCGCACGATCTCGGCCGTGCAGCCATCCAGCAGGTCCATCTCCTCGGCGGTGAGCTGCCACACACGACCCCGGGGAGGCTTGCTCCGCCTGAGCACGGCTGCAGCTGCAGCGAACGCGCGGGCCGCTTGCTGCTGGTCTTGGAAGTGGCCAAGAATCAGCGTCCTTGATGACCCGGGCTCAGGGACAATCTTCGCTTGCCAAGTTCCGTCTGGGAGGAGCCTAACACCCGCGTACTCCCCCGATCCAACCACTCCCCCGACAGAGTGTGATGGCGGTGGCGGCGGGCCCATACACCCAGAGTGATCCTCCGAAGGGGCAGGCAGAGCTCCACCGCGCGCACCGCAACGATACGAGGTCAATGCATCGCCGGGCGAACCGGGCAGCAGCCCGTTGATAACGCCGAGGGCCGTTTGAATCTGATGAGAATCCCCTTGCTGCTCGAGTTGCGCAGTCGGCGCCAGAATTTGCTGGGTGGCAGGGTCGTCGGTTCTCGCGCTGGGTCCGCCCGCTCCTCCAATACGCCCCTGCTGCGGCGGTGCTGGTAAGGCTGCAACTTGCGCTGACAACGCGGTGAGCTCGTCGCAGGTGGTGGACAAGTCGTTGGTGAGACTCTCCACCAGGAGCTCGAGCTTGGTGATGTCTTTCTCACAGTACCCCACGCGGCAGGAGATGTTGTGGATGTCGCCGACAGCATCACGCAGCTTCGCGTCGATTTCGGCCAGCTCCGGAGACACTGGCTTGTTCACGCGCTTGCTGAGCGGCGGATCTTGGTGGGGCACCATAACTCCGGACCTCTCCAGGGTTGGGATCAACCGCTTGAGTGCATGTTCGACTATGTCCGCACGCATCC